CAGCCCACCCTCCACCATGTAATTAGCCTCTGAGTTTTGGTGACTATACCATTCTAAGAGTTTTTCAATATGGCCTTTATTTCCATCCCTAGGGCCACTGCCCAAGGTTTCTCAATAGTTTCCCAAACAGTTATTATACCATCTTTCTCTTTCTTGGCTAATCATGTGGTAACAACTGCCTATTATCATGGTAGTGTATGGTTTTGAGTATATTACTCCTCTATTTTACGGAAAACTTTCATAAACCCCATACTCTCTATGGGATTATTTCCAATTCTTCACAGAGCATAAAAGAGTTTGTCTAATTTGTATGTCTTCTGTAGACCCTTGGTCTCCATATGCTCTCCAACACATAGTTACACTCCAGGGACAACATGCTATTCTCCTGTTCCTAAATGTCTGTGCCCATTCATACTCTGGGCACAATTTCCCTCCTCCTTTCCCCAAAGCTTCTTCTCCTGGCCTCAGCACCACATTTCTACCAGTGAAATTCTGCCACTTAAGGGTCATCGTCAGTGTGAAACCTTCTCTGGCTTCCAGGCCTAAATGAATCACTCTTGTTTTCTCCGATTATTACAATTTATTGAGTCCTGGGTACACGAAACACTAGGTGCTGTGCTATAACAAAGATTCCTAAGTAGGATCTTCTTTTACTGAAGACCTTGAGGCCCAGGATCACAAGTGAAGAGTCCTGGCGCCTATGACCATCGCCCCTCACAGTAGCTCACGTCATCTTCCTCATTTCAGTGCTAACTGAACGTGTCTCTGGGAGCAGACATCATCATGATTATGGCTAGCACAAACTGAGAACTTTCTATATGACAGACAGGTCACTTACATAAATGCAAATACCCCCACAACAAATCTGTCACAGATACTCTACTATCCCCATTTTATAGTAAGTGGAATGATTAACTTTCTCCCAGCCAGAAAGTGGCAAAACCCAGACTCAGTTTTAGGTCTGCTCCACAGAGCTAGGTTTCGTAAGCGTGGTGCTGCGGGTCTCACTCTGCTGGCATGTTCACTCTGTATATCAGTGTGGTACTCAGGTGCTTAAGGTGATAGCTTCTGAATGCACCATCTGCTCACAGGTGGGGATACTCCAACTACTTCATACAGGACTTTCTGATTCCAACAACTCATTTAGACTAATACTTTTTGTTTTGTTTTGTTTTTTATCCTCACCTGAGGACATTTTTTCCATTTTTTGTTCAGATAAAGTGGAAGGGAGAGAAAGAGAAAGAGAGAGAGAGAGAGAGAGAGAAACATCGATGTGAAAGGGTCACATCAAGCGGCTGCCACCTGCACGGCCCAACCCAGGTCTCCCTGTACCACAGGCCAACGCTCTAACTGCTGAGCCAAACCGGCCAGGGCACTTTTTGTTTTTGTTTTTTTTAACTTATCTGCCAGACTGGACTTCTCCTAGCACCTGTCTTTGGGTTTATTTTCCTATCTTCATGACTATGACCAGCTCATATTTGAGGTTTAACTTCCTCCAATCTGTCCCCTATTGGTACAGTTTAAGCCAAGCCCATCTGCACGCTGAGATAAGGCAGTGGTTCTCAGAAAAGCCCGGCTGTGTATTTATGTCTCAGGTAGGGGGGAAATCCAACTCATGACCACAGGAGGCAAAGAATGCATCTATGCTGGGTGTGCCTTTGATCTAAGCTTTGTTTTATTCACACACCACTGTACGTTGAATTCTATAGTTTATGGTTAAGGACAAGAAACTGTACCTGGCAGCAGACAGAGGGAGAGAGGAAGTGATGGAGAAATGGCGCCCACCGAAAGCAAAACTATGAAGAAGACAGTTTGCCTCTGGCCCATTCAAACTTCTCTTGAACACCCCTCTTCTGCTTCAATGCTTTATTTTGCCTTCATTTTTTAAGGCTCTTTGGGAGAGTACAGAATTCTTGCTTGGTAGTTATTTTCTTTCTTCAAACTGAAACTACCATCCCATTGCCGTTTTTTTGCTTCCAATGATCACAACCAAAAAGTTGGTTGTTTGGGTTCCTTGGAATTCTTGTTTTTGTAAATGTTGTCTTCCATCAGTTTTAGAAGAGTCTTAGCCATTATCTCTTCAAATATTGCTTCTGCTCCATTTTTCTCTCTTTTTCTTCTGGGATTACAATGACATGTGTGGTATATCTTTTTATATCTGTCCTCTATGTGTTTTACCTCTTCTCTATATTTTTTATCTTTTTGTTTATCCATTTTTTGGGGGGTGGGGGGGCAGACAGGTTCTTCTGACTTACCTTTCAGTTCACTATTTCTATCTTCATCTTTGTCCAACTTGTCTAATATGCAAAAAAAATACTTCAGCTATTGTATTTATACAGTTAAAAATGTTCAGTTAGGTCCTGGCCAGTTTTTCTCAGTGGTTACAGCAAAGGGTCTCGGGTTTGATTCTCAGTTAAGGGCATATATCTGGGTTGCAGGTTCAATCCCTAGCCCCGGTCAGGGTCATGCAGGAGGCAACCAATATATCTGTCTTTCCCACATCAGTGTTTCTCTCCCCACCCCCCATCTAAAAATTAATGGAAAAATATATCCTCGAGTGAGGATTAACGAATAAATAAATAAATAAATAAATAAATAAATAAATAAATAAATAAATACAATGCTCAGTTCATTTTTTTTCCTTTTTTTTTCAATGCCACTTTTTATAGTTTCAGTCCTTGCTAAAAGTTTTAAGTTTTACTTTTACTTCCCTAAGCTCAGTAGCCATAGTTGTTTACTAACGTGTGCCTGGTGGTTTTCATTTCTGGCATATCAGGGTGTTTGTTTCCACTGTCCGCTGTTAAGGTTGTATCTCATTTATGCTGTATTGGTGCCTCATATACATGAATATCTTTGATAGCGCACTGGCTATTTTATATGAAAAATTATTGGTAGAAATGAGGTGCAGGATGATTTTAGTCTCCCTTTGAAGAAGATTTTAAATTACTTCTACTGGCTATCCAGTTCCTAAACGCATTAGCAGTACAGAGCTCCCTTCTTGATTCTATGGCTTGAGATTCTGGGGGCCACACAGGGGACTTGAAGCTCAGACACAGTCTCTGTGAAAGCCGTTCTATTTTCATGGTACCTCCGATCCGGCGAGCTTTCTCGGGCCCTCCGCCCCACTCAGGCCTGGGCTGCAGCTGTGCTCCTCTTTGTCCTGAGAGCCTCTCAGAGTGCTGCGACCTCCTGCCGTCAGCAGACGCCCTGTGGCAAGGCAGTCCCGAGTGGGAGGCTCACGTCTTTCTCTGGTCTTAACTCAGAAATTTCACACCATTTATGAAGCCTTTCTTGCACTTAAGAAGATGTTTTTCAGTATCAACCAACATTTTCAAATTGGCTTTGTCTGGATAGTTGGTCTGAGTTACCATTATAGAAAGTAGATATCCTAAACCTTACGTTTGTTTAATGCTTTGCTAATTTAGATTCTGAAGACTCATTTAGAAGGTTAATACATAATCATAATTCAACTAAACTTTTAAGTACATTAATGAGTTAATCCTATAGAATAGTACTTAAAATTATACCATTAGACTGAACTACTTTTAAAAATGCAAACAAATTTTTTACTTTTCTTGAGTTAAATTTGAAAGTTAGCCAGTTGAGGTTTGTGTAAGAATCTGTCAGAAAACTAAAATAGAAATATTCATTAGCTAGGATAATCTGGTTGGTATTTGAATAAAGTGTTACAAAATGCAAAACTTTTGTTAAAAATAATTAAGTTAAAACCAAAAAAGAAAATCTCAAAATACAACCTCCTTCACTCATACACTAAGCATATAGCATTAGTTACAGGTGAGAATACGTTAAAGTCGTTGGCATTAACAGAACCTTTTTGTCATCTAATCAAAAGATAGCCATATCCCTTCTCTTCCCTCCCCATCTCCCAATATATTCTGCCCTATCAGACAAATTTGTTTCAATAGCAGATTGGGATATCCTAATCTCAAGAACCCTGTGAGAACCCCTTGAGGCTTAAAAACAATTGATTTAAAGTAGTTATGATAAATTCATTCCTCCATTCCACTACACTTTGCTAATCTTTATTGCAGCTAATTCTGGACAAAGATCTGTAAAGGGACTTCTATGAAAATATCTCCTTTTTCATTGAAAAAGTACAAAATAGGAACAACTAATAGTATTTCTTCTCCCCTTTCCCAGATTTGAACTCATACAGAATGTTTGGAGCTGCTGTAGCCATTTTTTGACCATGAGGTAACAAACAAAATGAAAAGCCAATACACAGACCTGAAACACCAACCAGAAAGAATATATGCACCCCTATGTTCATAGCAGCACTATTTACAATAGCTAAGATCTGGAAACAACCCAAGTGTCCATCAGTAGATGAGTGGATTAAAAAGCTGTGGTACCTGTACACAATGGAGTACTATGCAGCTGTAAGAAAGAAAGATTTCTTACCCTGTGAGATGGCATGGAAGGACCTGGAGAGTATTATGCTAAGCGAAAACAGCCAAGCAGAGAAAGACAAATATCACATGATCTCACTTATTTGTGGAATATAATGAACTAAACGACCTGCTGAACAAAATTAACCCAGAGACATGGAGGTGGGATACAGGCTGACAAGCCTCAGAGGAGGGGGAGGTTTGTGGAAGAAGAGATAAACCACAGAACTTACATGCATGTATGCATGACCAATGAACATAAACAACAAGTTGGGGATGGAGCAGGGGGAAGGGGAGGTGGGTGTCAATGGGGGAACATCTGTAACAAAAACAATGAATAAAAATTTTTTTTAAAAAAGAAAGAAAAACCAACACACTAAGAAAGGTAGAGCAGAAATTGAGATGATCTACCTCCTGATTTGTATGTAGGTTAAAAACAAATGTCTTCATATTTTAAGTTGCTAATTGGTAGGTTTCCTATGATGTGATGTTGAAAATACCCATAATTAATATATTTGCTAAATATGCTCATATGGCAAAATTTTGACCTAGGTTTTACTCTACACAATGCTTGAAATTTGTGTCACTTACTATAATACAAGAGTCCTGAGGTTCAAGGTCAAAGTCAGTGAAGTTCAAGAGAACACGGTGATGTTTTTCCACTCGAATGACCCAGGAACAGTCGGTGTTACTCCTATAAGGACTGGGGTAATTTGGAGAATGAATCTCTCCACTGGGAGCCTGGAAAATCCCACCACAACCTGTAGGTAGAAAACCCAATTCAATAATTAGAGGAATCCCTGATACATAAAACTTTACCCCACAACCTGGTAGCATAGGACAACATGCTACTTTGTTTGACTACCACTTTATGTAGTCTATGCTAAACATTTGAAGACATGAATAGCCATCATGAATTCATTCATCGCATCAAAACAAAGGACAACTAAGAAAATACTTCAAATGTTAAATACTGATGCCAACAATTATTTGAAAAATACTGAAAAGTACAAATGAAATCAGGTTTTCATAAAGCCATAAAATGCCTTGTCATGGTTCTCTAAAAATACAGCCAACTGTAAGAATAACACATCTCCTACCAAGAATTTTGATTAATTCAGTAGTGTATGCTTTTATAAATAACTTAATGTCTGCCTTTTAAATTTTAATAGGCATAGCCCCTGGACACAGAAAACAGAGTGGTAAAGGCCAGCAGAGAGGGGGTGGGGGCTGGATGGTGGTTGGCAAAGGTTGGGGGACAATAGAGGACATCTGTACTAGTGTCAACAATTTAAAAATTAATCTGGACCTGCTATCATTATTCAGTCATTTTATTATTATATTATCAAATACCTATCATACCTACCTCTATGATCCATTATTTCTTGTATTGATAATGAGACAAACCAATAATGGAAAAATTTAGTATTATTTTCTAATAACTGCAAATCATTTTGCAGTAACCTAAACAATGTTTATAATTCTAATTAAATTCATACGTTATTAACTTCAGGAAATGTGATATACTCATTATATTACCTTAGAGTTGAGTTGCTAAAGTGGGGCCATAAGGTAGCTTCAGGTTACATTTTTGCTTTGGCATTTTCTATAAGAAACTAACTTCTCTAAGCTTTGATTTCCTCTTTACTCTGATGAGTATATGGAATGAACTTCCCACCCAGTTGGTTGTGAGGATGAAATGGGATGAGTCTTATAGAATAGTTAGGAAAGTTCCTGGCACATAGTAAGCATTCAATAAATGTGGCTATTATGGGTAGTTGTACAGGTTAACATCTAATATAACATTTTGTGCATTAATTTTTTAATTTAAATAATATGCAACAGGTAATTTATTCAGACTGCCTAAGTTCTTGGGCAGAATGTCACTACCTAACACCTAATAATTCCTAGGAATTCACAAATTCAACATTTACAGCTTCTGACCTTTGCCAAGAATCCAGAGGTCTAAACTAGGGCACGAAGAAATTCACCGCTTTGCTGAGGCCGCAGTTTAAGGCTGGTGAACAGGCACACGTCCTCAGAGAGGAAGTGAGTCTGACCAGTCACCCACTCCTGCTCTCACCATGGATTCGCATATGTTCTTTATTTTCACGTACACTGTGACTCTTCAGACGTTCAACTCTATCCCATTTGTTAGGGAAGAGTATATGCCAAAGCAGTATTCACCATGTGGGAAGTCACAGAGTTGTCAGGATGTAGCCTTTATACCTCTCTCCAACCATTTCATGAAAGTGAACAAGGGCTCGGTTTTAGTACTTTGCAGTTTCTCTTTGGTTCACTCACCTCCAGGGATGGCTTGCCATGAGACATTGAAGCCTCTCCCACTTATGAAGCTGTCGGTCTTAAATCGAATTGCTAGCTCATTTCCTGTGCTGGAGACCTGCATGGGATTCTCAGATGATCTCCGGGCACACAGCTGGGCTATTCTGGGAGAGTGGAAATCAGGGCCTCCATAGATCTACGATGGGATGCAGAAAAAAGGACTTTAATTAAGAGATATATTTAAGCAATTACAGCCCTTCCTTGATTCACTTTTACCGCCAGCTCTTGGAGTTTATTATCACCAGGAGTTAACACTGCAGCCACCCTGGGTGGGGATGAACTGTAAACTTGAGCTGGATTTTCAAAGGCACTCCCTACACCCTGGGAACACACAAGTTCAACTACCCCCAAAATGTCTGCTTATTTTATCAGCTAGAATTGTAGAATTAAACTGAACAGATGATTCCAGAATCTTCCCTATCTCCCTTCTTCCTCCTTTTCATATCTTCATGGGATTTCCTGCTTTCTTGGGCACAGGCATTGGCAATAATGCAGAATCAAGTCTGATTTTGTAACTCTTTTACGCACATTTGAATAGGGTTAGTATAAAGCCATTCTGTTGGTGAAAATCAAGTTCATGGAAGGCTACTGATCTCCCAGTTATAGTATACTTTTAGGATTTTCCACTTTGTAATCTGAATATTTTATAAGATTAGGTATTTAATTAACATGTTTGCTTCTTCAGAGGGAGTGAAAATATAACCTCTATCAGTGTGTTCTGTGGTATCCTCAAGAAATGAATCCTTCTCTGCTCCTACTCCCAGCATGCCCACTCATGGAACAAAACCAAGAGCATCCAACTTCTGCTCAGGAATTTCCCTGTGCACTCTGCTTCCATATCTGGATGGTTCCGCCTAGATCCATCTCAGTTGTCCTCAGACCTAGGCTCCCCCAATTTGCAACTGTCTATCTGATGGGGATCTAATATCCCAGTGACACATTCCTCTCAACAAATGTCTCCTTGATCTCACCTCTAGCATCTTGTAAGCAAGGACAGTCCAGCCCAGGCCGGACCTCCAGGACACCTCACACAGAGGTTTCTCAGTTGTCAGTGGGCACTGCTTATCCAGTGTATGTGTTGCAGGGAGGAGGGTGGGGAATGAGGGGAAGATAAGAATGAAACAGAAAATATTTAAAAGTAAAACTAGGTTTCCGGTCAAGATGGTAGTGTAGATAAATGCAGTATTCGCATTTGCCCACAACCACATCAAAATTAAAACTGAACTACAGAACAGCCATAATTCAGAACCCCCTGAAATCTAGCAGAACAGAATCTACAACTAAAGATATAAAGAAGAAGCCACATTGAGACTGGTAGGAGGTATGGAGACACAGAACAACTTGGTCTTACATCCATCTGTAGCAGATAAAAATTGGGAGGGATATCTCAGCTACAGAGGTCCCCCCTGAGGAGTGAGGAGTCTCAGCTCCACATCAGGCTCCCAAGCTCAGAGTTCCAGTTCCCAGAAAGAGAAGACCTCATAACTTCTGGCTATAAAAATCAGTGCTGATTGTGGCTGAGGGAGATGAGGGCGGTTAGAGTCCCAGGGTTTCCTCTTAAAGGTTTCACACATAGACTAATTCTACTGACTCTCTCTGAGCTCCAGTGCTGGGGCAGCAGCTTGAAAGGCACCAGAGACATAAGGGGAGTGTCTGCCATCAGAGCGAGAGACAGAGGGGCAGTGTTCTCCCTGACAGAAGTGCTGGCATGGGCCACTGTCCCTTTTCTGAGCCCTCTCTCAACAGAGCCAGCAGGCAGGCCCCACATCTGAGACTTCATGAACCTGGCTAAAGCTGTTAGCCCTGCCCTAGTGATTCCCTGAGGCCCCACCCCACCTACCTGCAGGACCACCCAAGGTGTTTCCAGTGGCTTTTCTATACAAATGGCCTATCTTGGCTCATGTTTTAGACTTTTCTAAAATCTCTTAAGCAGCACTTGACCTCAGCATGCCCTATAACTTTCATTAAGTAGCCCCAGGCCTGGCACTAGCAGCAGCCAGCTTTGGTTCATAGCTTGGCCTCTCTTGGGCACTTTCAAGCCCAACACAAGTAGCAGTCAAGTCATCTGCAGATTGCTTTGTAACTCATGCCAGTGGCCCCGAGAACACAGGCAACAGCTAACTTTCTAGGAGAGTCCAGAACCAGCACACGTGGTAGACAACTTCAGACCATGTTGAAGAACCACCACTACCTCCACAAGTGATCCACTCAAGGGGTAGACTCAACAGGCACCAGAGCCCTGCTGAAGTAAGTCCTGCTCTGTGGGTGGGCCCCTGCGCAGCTGATCCTCCACAGTGGTCTCAGCCAGTCCTTGCAGCTAATGGGCCTGGGGGTGGACCCCTCCCATTGATGTGCCAACAACAATTGAAGCTCAACTACAACTGGAGGGTATACACAGCCCACATGTGGAGTGAAGGGGGCACCTGAAATGCCCAGCTCGAGTAAATGGGGAGGCTGAGCCACTGGCCCCTACAGGACACCTACTACATTAGGAGAGTCCACCAAGTCGGGGAGACATCACAGCTCTACCTAATACATAGAAACAAATACAGGGAAGCAGCCAAAACAAGAAGACAAAGAAACAGGTTGCAAGTGAAAGAACAAGAAAAAGAACTAAATGAATCAGAGGCCAGCAAACTAACAGATAGAGTTAAAAAAATGGTTACAAGGATGCTCAAGGAACTTAGTGAGAACTTCCACAGCGTAAACAGTGACATGAAAACCATAAAAAAGAACCAGTTAGACTTGAAGGATATACTAACTGAATTGAAGAATAATTTACAGAGAATCAACATCAGAGATGAAGCTGAAAATCAAATCAGTTATTTGGAATATAAGGCAGCAGAAAACACCCAGTCAGATCAGCAAAAAATAAAAAAGGAAAAAAGGTAAGGATAGTGTAAGGAGTCTCATTTCATCATGAGGGTGCCAGAAGGAGAAGAGAAAGAGTGAGAAATTGAAAACCTATTTGAAAAACTAATGACAGCAAATTTCCCTGAAAGAAATAGACATACAAGTTCAGGAAGCACAGTCCCAAACAAGATGACCCCAAAGAGGCCCACACCAAGATACATCATAATTAAAATGCAAAAGGTTAAAGACAAAAAAGAGAATCTTAAAAGCAGCGAAAGAAAAGCAGTTTGTTACCTACAAGGGAGCTCCCATAAGACTGTCAGCTGATTTCTCAACAGAAACTTTGCAGGCCAAAAAAGGAGTGGCAAGAAATATTCAAAGTTATTAAAAATCAAGGTCCTACAACCAAGATTACTCTATCCAGCAAAGCTATCATTTAGAATCAAAGGACATATAAAGAGCTCTCCAGACAAGAAAAAGCTAAAGGAGTTCATCACCACCAAACCATTATCACATGAAATGTTGACGGGTCTTTTTGAAAAAAAAAGAAAAAAACAGATTTAAAAATATGAATAAAATGGCAATTAATACATATTTATAATAAAAAAAGAAAGTGATTGCAGAAAATAAAAAAAATTGACAAATATATGAAACGGGGTAAAACATCACTGAACAGGAGGCTCTGGATTTTGAGCAACAAAAGAGAAAGTAAGGCAGTTTCCCTTAATTTCAGAGAGAGGTAAGATGACACTTTGTAAGAAAACTGACAGAATTCAGAATCAGAGGCTGTTTCTGAGTTTATCATATGATTTCCTTTTTGATATTTATCATATTTGTGCATTGATATGTTTGCCTAAAGGAATAAATGGTAGCATTTTCAACTCTAAAATAAATAAATACAATAAAATGAAATTTAATTAAAAAAAAAAAAAAAAAAAGAAGATATTGACCCACTACCTTCTGGTCTTGCCAAACTTAAATTTGTGGAAGAAAGACAATTTGGGGCAACAATTTTCAGTCGTACTGGTATCTGGGTCCTTCCCTCTGCCCCACATGTAGGCTTCTACTTCTGTGCTCAGGACGGGAACAGGAAGGCACAGCTCCGTAAGACTGTGCAGCCCCCTCCCATCTCTGTGATCTGTGCTGCTTTTCACCTCCAGCTACTGTCCCCCGTTCTTCAGGCCCCCTGCCTTTGACCACCCTTAGGGAAGCTGTTGCCTGATAAGGAAAACACTCAAGTGTTCTCTGGGGAGAGAGAGTGAGAACAACAAGCCTACTTTTGGGGAGTATGTGATTTGAATCTATAATGATGTCTTTGTCTGATTAATTCCCCCAGTCATGCGGGAAAGGCCAAAGTGAATGAAACTGCTGTTCCACAGAGGCCTGAGCACAAGGGCTGTAATTGCAAAGGAATGAAGCGGGCTGACAGCTTCATGCTTATTTTCATTAGGAGGAGCTATGTTTGTGTGGCCCCCTCAGTCCCTTCCAAAGCAGAACTTCAGAAAGAGCCCTGTGTGGCCTTTTACACGTACACATATGCAAATGTGAGAAACAAGATTGCTTTGTTTGGAGTGTCCCTTCCCGTTCTGAAGATTTCCCTACCCTCCCTCCCAGGGTGCAGGCCTCAGAGCAGGAGACTGACAGCATGTTCTCCTAATCATCCAGGCCCAATAAGCCGCACATCATTTGGAGAGAACATCAGGCAGAAGGGTTTAGTTCTAACAAAGAAAACTTGCACATCGGCAAAATATTCTTTGTTTTCCCTGCCCATGAGTCCCCTTGAGAACACAAACATAACGGATGTGAGTTGGCTAGGGCTAGTAGCCTCCAGAAGAATAAACACTACCACTTTTGCTTCCCTTCTTATTGGGCTGGGCTCACAAAAGACCATCCCAGAGAGACCAGAGGGAGCTCACTGCCCACACCAAGCGATTGTCTAGGTTTTATTGCAGCAAGGAGTGGATTTCCTGTTCTGCTTTATGCCAATTTTAGACCCCTTTCTCTGAGACTGAAGAAAAATCAGTGTTTCCATGATCCAAACAACAGAATGGCACTTTGGCTTCTACAAATAAAACCACATGACTCTTCAAAAGAGGGAAAAGTTGGAAAGAATCTCAGGGTGTGGTTCATTCGACTACAGCATGTGACTCCACTTTAGGGGAAAGAGAACCGGTCTGATGAGCAGAGATTTTAAAATTTGTTTTTAGCAAATTCCTAGGATATAGAACATTTCAAAGCCTATGGTTTTGATCTGTTTTGGACATTTCTTTCTGCTCTGTTAGTTCCATTTATTGTTACAATTTAGTCAGCATTCCAGGGTTGTGAGTAACCCAATGGCTGTTGATTAAAGCAATTGGTCACTTTCCGGACATGGAATTTTGAGGGAGAAAAATATTAATTCCTGCTTAAATCTGGAAAACCCAACCTGGTGAGAGTGAAGTCCTACTTGGCTCCACTCAGGAGAACAGAAAAGAATAACATGCAGGCTGAGAACCGATGGGTCCAGACGCAGCAATGCTTCCAGGCCACACACCCACCGAGGGTAAAACATTTTGAAACCTCTTGCTAACATGTTATCAGCAGCTAGGGTGTGAGGGATGGAAAAAATCATTTTATCATGTGGACAAAAAAGGGGCCACATACTAACCCTGACAAGCTCAGGGGAGGGCTGTAGGGCAGACCGTGCAAACTCAGAGACTGAAAGTAACCAGATAGGAAGATTTGAGCATAAAACTTCCTAGCTAAAAGCAGGTCATGATTGGTAGTCACATCCTAGGCCTGTGGCTTCTGTGACAAAGGTCAACCTTTACCTTAACTGAGCCTATGGTGATTGTCTTTTTGCATCTGAGATAACAGACTTTTGAAATGTCAGAGTAATCCCCTTTTCCGGACCCCTCAGGGCACAGCCCCAGCACAAGAGCCTGAGACCACAGAAGCTTTCATGATTATCTTGTTCCCCAAATACCATTTCTATGTGCTGTAAATGTTAATTATTGACTAGCCTGTACCCACCAAAGTACAAAAAATACGCATCTCTGTTGTTTCACTCTGTATCCAATCCCAGAGATTTTCCTGCTTTGCTTTCTCCCACCTCCCTAATCTATTACCAATGGATTTCATGTAACGCTCCTTACACCCCATCCTTTGACTCTAGTGTATAAAATAAGCTGGAAAACTGCCATCCTCCAGAGCATTTGTTGAGATTTTGCTTCTCAGCAATTGTCATCAAATAAACTCATAAAAATTCTCCACAGATTTGGGCGTTTCTTACATCAATAATCGTCATTAGTGCAAATTTATTACAGCATTTCCCACCTTATTTGAGTATTTGCAGAAAGGTTAAACAGGGTTTTTTCAAAAAGCAAAAAGTAAGGAAGTTACTCATTTCAGCCTTAAAAAAAACTCCCAAAATATTTGAGGGCCTCAGAATATTCCTCCAAACTCTGATAGTGATGGAACATTGGGAGACTACCTCATCCTCCTAAAAACAAGCCCCAAGAGGACTGCAGCCTCTTCCCACAGCCCTTCCTGTGCAGACACGGCACCGGCCTGAGAGCGAGCTGTGTCCTCCTGTCCCCAGGGTTGCCTGCAGGGAGACAGCCCCAGGCTTTGCTCTCTCACGTAATGGGCGTGACAAAACCCAAAGCACAACGAACCCATTTACATTTGCCAAATGCTCTTTGGAACATGAACACGGAGGGTTAGAAACATTTCACATGATTGTGGAAGAGTCTGCTGCCAGCCCTTTGTAAGTGTCGAGGGGTTCTACGCAGCTGAGAAATGTCCTTGCTAGCAAGAGAGACCATCTGAAGATCCCACAGTTGAGAGTTAGTCCTACTTTGCCTACTACGAGTGTAGATTTCGGTTGCCACTTTGTCCTCTCCTCTGAAAAAACAGTTCTTGTGAGAGGGAGTCATGACTTGGCGACAGTACTTCCATGATGATGAGGGTGTGGGTTTCACCCAAGGACTCACCAGCTCTGTCTCTGATTTCGCTGACTGCCACTTACATGCAGTTGCTAGTGTCTGCTCCCACTCAGTGAGGGCATGCTTTGATACCCCCATTTCTTTTCAAAGAAAGAAATTGTTTTGTAATTAAATAAAGTTTTTAAGGGTTAAAGTGTCCATAAAGTACATGCCACTCATATCAATATCTTTTTTTTTTTTTATCCTCACCCAAGGACATTTTTCGACATTTTGCTCAGACAGAGTGGGAGGGAGAGAGAGAGAGAGAGAGAGAGAGAGAAACATCGGCATGAAAGGGACACATCAACTGGTTGCCACCCACACGACCCAACCAGGGCCAGGACAAACTGCAACCGAGGTACGTGCCCTTAGCAGGAACCGAACCCGGGTCTCTCGGGACCTCAGGCCAATGCTCTACCTGCTGAGCCAAACCGGCCAGAGACTTGTGTACTACCCAAGTCTCTCTTTTTATACCGGCTTACACAGGATGCTGAGTGGAGGGTGCGTTCAGCTCATAGCTCTGCTGCTCACCAGCCTGTGATCACAGAAAAACCAGTCAGTCTTTCTGAGCCTCTGTTTTGACAATGGGAGAATGGGGGCAGAATTCCCCTTACCTCACAGGGTTACTGAACATTCAGATGGGAAAATGGATGTCAAAATCCCTTTGTAAACCACCATAAATGTGAGTTACTATGGTCTATCAATAATGGAGACGTTTAGATGTTTTCATTCATTCCAAAAATACGTATCAAGTGTTTCCTAGTTGCCAAGTACTCTGTGGCCTTAGGGGTGCAGCAGTGAACCAAAAGCAGACAAACACCCAGCCCCTGTGGCGTTTCAGTTCTCCCGGATCTAGAACTCCTGTCATGACGTGCTGTAGCATCTTTTTCCTGTGGTGATAGGAGTTTTGTGTGTACGTAGAAACCTTAAATTTTGCAGATAGGTCAAAGTTCAAGATTACTACTATATGTATAATCCCCTAATGACTAGATCCCTGCGTTCAAAAGCTGACTATAGTAGATTCTCAAAGGCCATCATAGTGACCTGAGATAGACCCTTTGCAGTAGTATTGGCAAAATTCTTATCTTCAAAGGCCTCCAACCGTCTAAGTGACCGTTTTGTTGAAAGCCTTCTACAGCAGATTCGTTTTGCACCCGGCCCCACGTGGACCCCGTCGGGTTGCAGATGCAGCCACAGTGGGCACCTCCCCTGCTCACCGCCATGCCCAGCCTGGCACGGCCTGCTGCCTCCTCTCCACACTGCCTCCCGACTGCCGTTCCCAGGAGAGCACCTCAGACTGCAAGTGTAGGGCGCTAACAGTGCCGAGTGCGTTCCTCCATCGTTGGGGTGGGAGTTCAGGGACCAAATGCCTCAGCCTGGGGTCCTAGAGGGATGACTCTGGGAGCAGCCCTCTCAGGAGCTGAGAGGTCCACCCAGCAGGATTAAGCTCACGTTGCCCTCAGGGGCTCCCTTCATTGGCTCTTCCTCCTGCTCCTTCCTCCTGCTGCCCCCCTTCAGTCCTGCTTCCTGGCATCACCTCCTGGTTAAGCTGCCAGCTACCAAGTCCTTCAGGCACTGCCTTTAGAGAAACCCAAACTGACATATTAATCCCACTTGTCTGCAGATATCATTCACGAAGGTCTGATACTCGTCAAAATTTCTAAGAACAGAACACTGCTCTGAACACTGGAAAGAATTTAGGAATGTTTGCAGTGATTTCCAGTTCTACCCCAAATCTTGGAATGTGCTGAAAAACTATCTAAATTCCTACCTCCAGGACGTCAAAGTGGCAGCTTTCGTGATACTCCACATCAAAGTCGTGGATGGTGAGCTGGATGCTGCTCCCAGGAGCCGTGTGAATGTACCATATGCACTCCTTGCTGGGGGGATACGTGTTGGGGTACCCGGGGCTGCTGAAGGAGCCCGAGGCCCCAGACAGCTCCGCACCACAACCTGTTGAAACAGCAAGGCTCAGTCAGTTCAGCGTGAGCACAGGCCACTGGTAACAACTGAAAACTCCAACTAACCAAAAGATAATTGAAAATGCACATGACTAAAAAAAACCACGAAGAAAAACCACGAAGTTATAATAAAGTTATAATTAAGTAGCTATAAAACAATGAGGAAAAAATAATGCCTACAACTTACTAAATGTATTCTTTTTAGAAACATTGATTGTATCATTTGTGCAGTGATTTTCAGTCCTTATTCTCACCACATCAAACCTTTGGTAATATTTTCAAAATGGCATTCTAAGCTTTAGACTGTTTTCATATGTGGGTAAGAGTTTCATAGCAAGAAGTACAAGGGACAACGTGAGCAGTGTCAGACAGCGAGCACCCTGTCTCAGTCTTCAGTCCTCGGTGTCCTTGTATTTAACACATTATTTCTAAGTGCTTGTCAGACCTGAGACCTAGAACTGTCACTGCATATCTCAAGGGAAAGATATCAGTCTGGAAAGGTCTGATTCCCAATATATGACAAAACCCACAGAACGTAGAACACTAAGAGTGAACCCTATGGACTTGGGGTGACAAGGGTGTATGTGGGTGGGTTCATCAATTGTAGCAAATGTCCCTCCCTGTGGATATTGTTGATAATGGGGGAGGTTGTGCATGTGTGGGAATGGAGGGGATATGGGAACGTCACCTTCCGCTCAACTTTGCAATGACCCTAAAACTCTTCTATTAAAAAAAAAAAATGAGCCCTGATTGGTTTGGCTCGGCGGTTAAAGCGTCGGCCTGCGGTCCAGAGAGACCCGGGTTCGGATCCTGCTAAGGGCACGTACCTCGGTTGCAGTTTGTCTCTGGCCCTGGTTGGGTCATGCAGGTGGCAACCACTCGATGAATCCCTTTCACATCAATGTTTCTCTCCTCCCCCTCTCCCTCCCACTCTTTCTCAACAAAAAATGGAAAAATGTCCTCGGGTGAGGATAAAAAATAAATAAATAAATAAATAAAAATATGGGTCCTCACCCAGGCAATTTATATCTAAAAACAAAAGAAACCAAAACCGATATATAAAACACAAGCGTGGAAGAAGACTGCAGCATAGGTTTTATGAATGTTTACATATCATACTGTAGAAAGCGATTAAAGCAAAGCAATACAACAAATAATCAAATGCTACAATATGGTACACAGTATAAAAAGGTGTCACCACTTAGTGCTTAGGTGTGTTTTACAAGTGTTTCCTATATTAATTCTCATAATAACCTTGTGAAGCAGATACTATCAGTGTCTGCATTTCTCAAACGAGCACATCAGCGGACACAGAGATCAAGCGGTGGCCTGGGGTCTAAGGCTCGTGAGTGGCGGGCCGGGAGGCCAACGCGGGCTTGGCGGGAGCCCGAGGACTGCATCCCTACTTTCTAGACTCACCTCGTTTGCAAGCACTCCAAGATTTCAGAATGGAGAGGGACAGAAAACTTTATGGAGGAAATAAAATTTGAGGAAGTCTCAAATTTTAAAGAGAAAATTAGAACGTAATTAAAGCTAAAATTAGAGAAAAGGAGAAAGGTTATCTTGTTTGCTAACAGCAAGTTTCAGTGATTTAAAAAACTCTGTTTGCTCTGTTAACATATCTGGGCTTCCTTTTCTAGTTTTTCAGAATATCCTTTATTGGTTGGTTAATTCTTCCAAGTACCTTCTGTTATTCAGCGTCGAGCCTTTTTCACGTTTAAGAATAATGGTGCCTCCTCATTCCATTATGAATATAGGTGCATTTTCACAGGAATGAAATTAAATTGCTGTGACTGGAAATATAAGACACTAAAGCTGAGATCATGTGTATGGCCCTGTGCAAATTCATCCTGAATAGTGAGTTTAAAAACAATTTTTTTTAGCCCAGCCGTTGTGGCTCAGTGGTTGAGCGTGGACCCATGCACCAAAAGGTTGCCAATTCGATTCCTGGTCAGGGCACATGCCCAGCTTGTGGGCCTGATCCCCAGTGGGGGGCACGCAGGAGGCAGCCAATAGATGTTCTTTCTCATCGATGTTTCTCTCTCCTTCTCTAAAATCAATAAAGAAAAAAAAGTTTTTAAAAAGTTCAAAAGTATATATTCTCTATATAAAATCTCCACTTAACTAAAAAGAACTGAGAGGAATCTTGCTGTGGTAAAGAAATCTGATTCCAGCTCAACATGTTACCATCTTGAGTTGCTACTTTCTGCTTCCATTTGAAAACCTCTGTGTTTTCAGACTTTAAATTTGTTGCACAGAGCAGAATCTTTTCCATGGCTTATAAAGTTCCCACTTTTATTTCTCGTTAAAACCCTATGAAGAAGCTGTTTAAAATTAGATGTGAGGGCATTAGTTACAGACTGTGGTGAATATTTAAAAAAAAAACATAAATGCCTTGAAAGATCAGAAAATATTTTCCCTACCACAACAACGCATGGAAAGTATTCTTGAAGCCAAAATCAGCACAGATTGTAAATATGGTCAATACCGCTGCACAACTCCCGGGGGCACCAGTAACAGGATATTTCATCCAATGATACTCTCTAAAGTTTTCCAAGGCAGTAGCCCACATAAATCATCTTAACATGTGATACTTTTACTAAATTACATTATAGGTAAGCAAAGCCATTCTGTTACCCCAGCATTTTTTAACATACATTTCCAGCTCCTATAGTTCTTGACATCAGTTGTATCAAATTAAATAATTCAACGGGAAAAAAAAACCTTTGGGGAAAAATAACTCTTTGGCCAAGTAATATAAAAGAGAACAGGAAATGGAAGCTTAGGTATCTCATTTCTGCATTTTTATTTAGCTTCATTTCACCAATCTCATTTTTTATCATAGTTGATTCATATAAAAATCTGTAGAACATTTTTCCATTGTCTTTTCCAATTGTTTTAGGTTTCCTTGTAAATTCCTTTGCAAATAACAGGATGCCAATGTCCTTAAACCGGTCGCTGTAAACTGGAATTATAATATCCGATTCTTGGCATTCAATAATGCTTTGAGAAATGACAGTACTAGTTTTATTTACTCACGTACAGCTCTTAAAGCCCACAGTGTACTTTTCCTAAGATTTTAATCAAACATAAAATAGGTTTATAAAAACATAACAAAATTTGACTTTAGGTTTGTCATGTTCTCTTTTCATCAATATGTGTGTCTTCTAAAGAGAAATGCTAATACTATTTTTTTTTCATCCTCACCCAAGGACAGTTTCCCATTTTTTGTTCAGATAGAGTGGGAGGGAGAGAGAGACAGAGAAACATCGACGTGAAAGGGACACATCGACTGGCTGCCACCCGCATGACCAACCAGGGCCAGGGACAAACTGCAACTGAGGTACATGCCCTTAGCGGGAACCGAACCCGGGTCTCTCTGGACCGCAGGCCGACGCTCTAACCGCTGAGCCAAACTGGCCAGGGTGGAATTCCAATACTATTAAAGTGAAATCCTATTTGTGAGAAATATTGTGTGGCTGTGAGACGAGAAAAACTGTTGGTGCTTGAAAACTCCTGGAAGCTTTTTTATTTCTCTTTCATGCTCTCCCCACCTTTGGGGTTTAACATATCAGAAGGTACCAACTTCAATTCAAAAGTTCACATTGAACACAGAATAGTATGAATTAATTTAGTGGTTATTATATGATAAAAACTATAAAATACTGGGAAATAGAGTGTATTCTGGTAATTATGGTAGAAACTCTGTCTTTGAATATTTAAATCTTGAAAGAGATAAAAATAAATTTTTAATTCCTATTCATTCATTCAATAAATATTTATTGAGCATATGCCGTAGTCCAAGTTGTGCTATGGAAGCCAGATGTATTTAATGTCTATTTTTAAAACAGGAATAGACATGAAAAGTGCTATTACCACATACCCTCCTGTAAGTCACTGAACGCTTTGCTTTTTCTTCAGTTTTCAAAGAGGAATTTCAATAAGTTTTTATTTTAAAACAGAAAAAAGTGAACTACATTTTATCCTTCACATGTTATATTTATTCTTCGTAAGTTATAAATAGGAATAAATAAATCATCATGTTGAGGTGCTAAAAGATATTTTGTAATTTGTTAGTTTTAATAGTACAAAGTTAGTATGATTCTCTTTTGGTACTAATTTCCAGTCCATCGATGAGAGAGTTTAATCAGCATTCAGTCAGTTATGGCTCACTCACTTGGGTTATCATCATTTTTCCCTAGATTTTGACAAATATGTATATGACATCAGGCAAAACAAAATAAGCCAAAACATATATTTTAAGAACTGAAAGAAATGAACGCCTGTTTTTCCTGTGCTTTTTTTAGTGACAAGGGAAAACATTCACAACAAAATTAGGAAAATTTCTATTAACCAGAAAAAAATTAAATATTAATGAATTATTTGATACTTTGTTTCATAAGTTCAAGCTATCATTAAGATAACAGTGAAAGATTAGAACATGAATTTAGAATTTATAGTTATGGATAAAAATTAAAAATTATTCATTTACACTGAGTTAAATTTTTAAATTATAAATGAAAGCAAATATCTATAATTCACAATAGATCATAGTTTTTTAATGTGAGTCTTTTAAATTATATTTATGCATTGTTTTTCACTTCATTAGCTGCAGAAAAGTGAGTCAATTACAATATAGAAAATGTGATTTAGAACCTTTATCAACACATCGTATCCCATTGTCAGCAAAAGAAATAATGAGTTAATCCAAAAATCCTATTGTGTATAATTCTGAAGAATAGAAATGTGTTCTAAATGCTGAAATAAATCTCCCTGGCTGGTTTGGCTCAGCAGTTAGAGCGTCGGCCTGTGAACCAATGAGTCTCAGGTTCGATTCCAGTCAAGGGCACATCCCCAACCCTGATCAGGGCCCTGCAGGAGGCAACCAGTTGATGTATCTTCTCTCACATTTATGTTTCTCTATCTCTCTCCCTCCCTCCCCCTCTATCTGAAGATAAATAGAAAAATATGACCAGGTGAGGATTAAAATAT